CTTTCTTTCTTTCTTTCTTTCTTTCTTTCTTCCTTTCTTTCTCTTTCTTTCTTTCTTTCTTTCTTTCTTTCTTTCTTTCTTTCTTTCTTTCTTTCTTTCTTTCTTTCTTTCTTTCTTTCTTTCTTTCTTCCTTCCTTCCTTCCTTTCTTTCTTTCTTTCTTTCTTTCTTCCTTTCTTTCTTTCTCTTTCTTTCTTTCTTTCTTTCTTTCTTCCTTTCTTCCTTCCTTCCTTTCTTTCTTTCTTTCTTTCTTCCTTTCTTTCTTTCTCTTTCTTTCTTTCTTTCTTCCTTTCTTTCTTTCTTTCTTTCTTCCTTTCTTTCTTTCTTTCTTCCTTTCTTTCTTTCCTTTCCTTTCTTTCTTTCCTTTCCTTTTTTTCTTTTCTTTCTTTCCTTTCTTTCCTTTCTTTCCTTTCTTTCCTTTCTTTCTTTCTGTCTTCCCCAGCCCAATTCTGGTTCAAAAATCATCGATTTGGGAGCAAACCCAAGCGTTCACCTGTGGCCACCTCGCTCCTGTTCCGAGTTTGACTCAGTGAAAATGCGATTTCATTTGAGATTTCCCCAGGAAAAGGGAACCGAGGCACCGAACAGCTGCGGAAATGACAAACAAAGACAAAGATTGCTCACAAAAATCAGGTGAGATGACACTGAGTGAGCTGGGCCGGCTCCTCTGCGTTCACATCTGGCCCAGCGGCTCCAAAATTCCCATTCCAATTTGAGATTTTTTTAATTTTACTTCTCAATTTTCTTTAAAATTCTGATTTTTTTTTTTCTTAGTTTTTTTGCAGTGAGTCTCTGGTTCAGTCCTTGGTCCCAAAAATCTATTTTCCCCCATTTTTCCTCTTTCCAACCTTTTCTTTGCTTTCTTCTGGAAGCCACCACAGCCAAGAACTTCCCTACATCCATCTCCTTTTATCCTGGAATAATCCGGGAATAATCAGGAATAAATGGATTTATACCCCAGGAATGGGAATTCTTTGAAACCTCTGTGAGCATAAACCCAAACAGCAGCGCCAGACCCATTTTTTATTTTTATTTTAAATTTATTTTTATTATTATTAATTTTTATTTTAATTTTTATTTGGGGATTATGTTGTTGTTTTTATTTTTATTTTCGTTTGTATTCTTATATTTTTATTTTTATGTTTTAATTTTTATTTTTATTGTTTTTATTTTTATTCTTAATTTATTTTTATTTTTATAGAAAATTGGGTAAAACTGGGCCAAAATTTGTCCTGATTGAGAGATTTAAATCAAGGAAAAATCCATGTTTTGGAATATAAAAGTTTGGAATGGGAATATTGGGAAACATCCCCTGGGGCAGAGCTTCAACCTCTGTGGGACCAAACTTCCTTTGGGATCACTTTGGTTTAAAATTGGGAATGAAGGAGATTCCAGAGGGAGGGAGAAACAGCCTGGGAAATGCCTCTGGAGCTGGGAATGGGATGAG